AATGCACCCGGGTCTGGCTTCAGCCTGATCCCGTAGGGGAGGAACGACTCACCCCTGCACTGTGGGGCCGGTCCGCTCCAGGCCAGGTTCACCCCGTCATCGGAGGTGCAGTAGATGGAGGCGTCCCCAATGAGGGACAGACCCTCCACGCAGCTGTACGTCACCTCTGCGCCGTAGGGGAACTGCTCCTGTCCCAAACCAGAGTGCTTCCCACTGGCGATTTGCGGAGGGGGGCCACAGACTATGAAATAAAGGGAATTGATAGGAAAATAAACATGTGATTGTGATATTCAGGTGATAATTAAAATCGCTTCTGGGAAATCAGTACAAGAGTTAACTTCATGTTTGTAGCGCGGCAAATTCACATAAAGTTGCTGCCTGGCTTCTTGCCTCTTGCACCAGCTCAAGGTTCCCACCTCTTGCTCAGCTCCCACCTGGGTCACATCTCCAGGGAGGAGGCACCTCAGCACATGGGCTGAAAGTGTTGGTGATCATCATCCCGTTCCCCAGAAGCGGAGGCTGAAGGGCAGGTCACCTACTGACTGCTGCTTCCAAACACTGATGCACAAGATTTCTTCTCAGCACTGCATTGCACGTACCTTTATCACAGAACGGTAACGGGGGGACCCAGCTCACACCACCCTGACACTCAGTCAAGTCCTGGCCCCTGAGGACATAGCCTGGATCACACACCAGCCTCAGCTGCGTCCCAGCTGTGTAGACAGTTCTGCCCTCATAAACCTCTCTTCCATGAATAATATCTGGCTTTGGGCAATGTGGTTCTAGAAACAACAGAAAATGAAGGATGTAATGTATTTTCAGAAAGAACTCCAGGGAAGATGCTTTCTATGGAGAAGACAGCAAGAACATCTGAACCCTGAAAGAAAAAAAGGTGCCTATCGTCCGGATGCAGGTCTCAACGCCACCTTTGTAACTCTAAAGGCATTTCTGCTCCTACCGCCAGCTTTTTCTGAGGTTTTTGAGAAAGGCACATGCTGCAGAGCCGGGTCCATGTCTGACCAAGCCTCCCCTCAGGGCTGGTGGCACCAGCACCGTTGTTATCCCAGGGGCTCCAGGGCCCTGCTTTCCTGCTCAGGTGCACTCGTGAGGTCGCTGAGCTCCTCACAGGCAGCATTAGGGCCAGGACAAGGAATCCTCCATGGTCTAATGCTGGCTGCTTTTTCCTCCAGGCAAAGTTTTCCTGAGCTTTTGGACTCAGGCCACTTCCAGCAGCTGGCTGACATTGCCATGCTGCCCCAGTGCTAGGTTATTAGCTTCAGCAGTGTCAGGTATTTATGCTGTGGCATTTTCTTCCGAGAGGGGAAATGCATTGAGAACAACGTCTGCTCCCAAGCCTTATGTCAGCAAAGCAGCCCAGCCGTCCAAATCACAAACCACATCCCCTTCCAGCTGGGTAAGTGTCTCCCAGGCTTCTTAGGAACCTCCTAAGCCTCTAAAAGCTACCAACACCCAAACCTTCGCATCCCACCTCCCTAGCTCAGCCCCCCGCCAAACCCCTGTACTTTTCCCACAGCAATCCCGTGATCCATCTGGATCTTCTGCTACTTATTTCTTCCAAGTTAACACAGGAGGACTAGATCTGGGGATACATGGCAGCAGAGCAAAAAATCTCCTTGGCTACTACTACCATCATCTAAGGCCAACGTAGATTTTATTTTTTTTTGCGAATGTCAGCAGACAACTATGCCATATAGGGTGACCCAAGCCTTTGCAGTCAAAAATAAGCAGTCGCCGAGCCAATGTGCTTCACCAGCTCTCACCTACCCAGCGTGCACTCCAGTGCCTCTGGATCCCATTTACCATCTCTTGTACACAGGAGTGCAATGTTACTCTTACGACCTTTGAAGGCATAGCCATCGTTGCACGTGATCTCCAGTCTGTCTCTGTACACATATTCATCTTTAGCTTCCCATATGTATGTGGGCTTCCCATTCCTGACATCTGGATTTGGGCAGCGAATTCCTGAGAAATGCCAAACATTAGCAAGTGTGAATCCATGGCAGAGCTGTCTGGATGGCAGCAGATTCATCATAAACAGGAGGATGAACGCTTTGTAAGCCACAGGCACATCACAGCACTAAATCTGCCCCAACACCATCTCTGGGCGCTCCTGGGGGATAGGGTATTTGCAAGGGACTTTACAACCTCAACCTCCCCTTGGATGGAGCAAGGGGCCCTCCATGCTGCAATGACTTTTTCCATAGGTTCAAGGGACTAGAAAGCTGGTAAATCAAGCAGATAAAACTCTATGGCTGGGGAACAAACCGAAGGAGTTCAAGAGTCACAGCAAAGGTCAGAGGCACGCCAATCGGGGCACCTGCAACATCCTCCCCACCACCACCATCTGCACAACAGCAGACCACGCACAGGTTCTTCGCTCGTTAGTAATTTTACCACATCAGCAGGGCAAGCCCACCAAAGGAACCCACACTTACTTTCACAAGGAGGCGGAGTTTCGGTCCACATAAAATTTGGCAGACACTTGATGTGCCACGTGGTTTCTCCCGAGCTGAACTGGTGGCCCTCCATGCACTCGTAGGTAACGATGGTCTCCGCAGGAAACAAATTGCCAGCAAGTTTTGCTTTCACAGCGTTGCGCACGTCTGGAGGGTCATCACAGCTACCTAGGAATGCAACAGCGATCTAGGGGCATTGCCAGTGATAAACCGGCGAGGCCCTTGGTGGTATGTAATCTAGCAGAGAGAATTTGGGCAAAAGCCGTGGGCTCATGTCGTCCTTTCTGAGATGCACTAAATCATCTGAGTGCAGTAACGCTAAAGAGGGAACGCAAAGGAGACATATCATAGAATCGTTTGGGTTGGAAAAGACCTTTAAGATCATCAAGTTCAACGATTAAAACATGTGAATAATTTAGAATCATAGAATCATAGAATCACTTTGGTTGGAAAAGCCCTTTGAGATCATCGAGTCCAACCGTTAACCTAACCCTGCCATCCCACCACTAAACCCTGTCC